AGATGCAGAATGCATTAGAAAGTGGATTGTTGAGGTGCAGTTAGGTTAAAATTTAGCACCCTGTCATTCCATCTCTCTTATGATCCATTTAAATTCGTTCTAGTTTTTAATATTTTCTGCTTTCTTTTCAATGGAGGTTTTTATCTGTTTTACTTTGTTACTCTTGTTATTTTTGTTTGTTTGTTTAATGTTTTTTTCTGTATATGAAATCCAAGATAGGAAAATCTATAGAGACAGTAACTGGATTAATGATTCCTTGCAAGTATGCCAGGGGAGATTAGGGGGAAATGGGGAACTAATAACAGTGAGTGCAAGAATAAAGAAAATGTTATAAAACTGCATGTTGTGCTGATTGTACAATTTTTCTTGATGTAAATGAATTATTTAATTGTATGTTATGTGATTGTGTTAGTCCGGGTACACTAGAGAAACAACTTCATAGACACTCATATGCGTACAAGAAAGAACTTTATGTACAGAGAAATTGTGCATTAAGAGAACATCCCAACCCAGTCCAGATCAAGTCCATAAGTCTGATATTAGCCCATATGTCCGATACCAATCTTTAAATTCCTCTTCAGACTAACAAAACACATGCAATGATGCCGAATGCAGGGAGATCACAGGCCAGTGGGTGGGAAGTTTTGTGGATCCAGTGGCACTGTAAGCATTTCAGTGCCGGCAGGGGCCTCCACGTGGCTTCTCCAGCTCAGGGTGCTAGTGTAGTTCCATGTGTCTTATCAGCTGTTATGTCTCCCAGGGTGTAAGCATAGAGAGAGTGTGTCTCCCGCCTCCAAGGAGGAAAAACAGGAGTTCCCAGAATCCTCAGGAGAAGGCTATGCCCACTTAGAGGCCTCATTGGCGCTATCTGATCGATAGGCTAGACTCCCCCCTACACTCTTATTCCTCAAATTGACACCAGATTGTGTAACTACCACAGTGACTTATATACCAATAAACCTGTTGGTGGGAAAAAACTATTGTGACTTTTCTTACTAGTTTAAGTGCGAGATTGAATTTTACAGATAAAATTACATATCGTGTAGACATTCTGTCCCTTAACGCAGGGTTGGAAGAGACTTTCACCCCACAAGTGAGGCTTCTCACCTCCTCAGTAATAATTTTGTTTTATCTGTGATGTTCTTTCATTGGCAGACAGAGCTATGTGATGTTACATACCTGTTGTAATTTGTATCCTTTTCAGCGTAAAATAAGGCTCTTGTATTGTTGAAAGATTTTGCTCTGAATCACTTTGTTGGCGAGATTAACAATGCCATTTCTGTTAGTGTTGTTTTGCCCATGAACTGGTTCCTGTCACTTTGTTTTAGGTGTGTCCCTAATAAGTAACATATGAGTGAAAGTTCTTTGATATGCCATCTAAGAACCCGTGTCTTTAAAAATAGAATTTCATGCACTGGGCAGTGGTACTGAGTCTTTATTCATTTGTTTTGTTTCGTTCATTGGTTCCTCCAAAGTGCGATTTTCAACGAAGGCAGAGGGAGATCGCGTCTCTCCTCCTCGGAGGAGCTCCTTCCCTCTTTAGTTTGAGACAAAAGATAACGGACTTTTTAGAAGGTTGCTCCAGTCTTTAATAGTTTCTTTATTTTGATTGAGGTTTTTCTGTTTTGTTTGTTGTTGTTTTTGCTTGTTTCTTGTTGTATGATTTTCGGTATATGAAATTCAGGATAGATAAATCTTTTAGAGACGGACCTGGCAGCAGAGGTTGGGAGAAACGAGGAGCTGACAGCCACGAGTATGCGAATGAAGAAAATGTTCTAACATCGATGGTGGTGATGATTGTACAACTCTTCTTAATAGGATTAAGCTATTAAATTGTATGCTATGTGAATTACATGCCAATAAAACGATATATGTTTAAGATAATGGCATTTTCCCACACACTTTTTGAAGCCCTGTGTGTGTGTGTGTGTGTGTGTGTGTGTGTGTGAATTTTGTTATTGTGGGACAGACACATATAAACTCACTGCCATTGAGTCAGTCCCAATTGAGCTACCCTACAGGATGGGAGAGAGCTGTCCCTGTGGGTTTCTGAACTTGTGAACCTGTGCAGGACCAGAGAGCTTCATATTTCTCTCCTGGAGCCGCTGCGGGCTTTGTGCTATTGACCTGGCCGTCAGCACTCCCTTGCACAACCCACAGCAGCTCCTTAGATGTGTACACACTGCAGGAGACTGATATCTCTCTTTCTGCCTGTCTTTCCCCCTAGAGGAAATCTGATCTAGGGGTAATTAGTCCCCTGATCATTTTACTATAGCATGGATGCCCATGACAAGGTGATTCGCTTGTCTTTGAACTTCACCCAGTATGTATCCGTTTGTGCAGGATCTCTGTCACTCGACATCATGTTCATGAGATTCACCACATAGCTACGTGTAGCAGTAGGTCAGGGGTTGGGCGGGAGATAGGTTTCTGTTCCTACTGATTTATGAAATCCAGGCCTATGAGGCCCTGAGGGCAATCACTTTCCTCTTAGAACGCCACCCTACCAAGCCAAATACACACCCAACCCCACTCTACCAAACCCACTGGGATGCAGGAAAGCCGACCCTCCCTCCGCAGGCACACACTAGCCATGCCCCTCTTAGTGCATAAGTTTCCACATCTCCCAAGGGGCTGTCAGGAGCACACGGAGGGTGCTTCAGGGATCAGGTGCTGACACAGGCCAGGCACATGGCGCTGTCCAAGGCCAACTCAGAATTGGGTACAGGGGCATTGTCAAGGACTAAGGTAGGGCATTGAGGTGCTGCTGAGGGCTGGACCCAAGGGGCACTGTCATAGGGCAGATGCAGGTCACAAGGTCCAAGCTGAGCACTAGGAGCACTATCAGGGAGGTGTCCAGCAGCAGCACCACCTCATGGACCCAACAGGGCCTTACCATGGCCTTACTGCCTCCTCAGCATTCTGCTGCCCACAGGGGGCAGAGGGCCACTCCCTGCCTCGACTGAACAAACCATGGGTTCTAGAATCTTTGCACTGCTGAGATTCCTACCTGTCCCCGCCCCACCCCCTCCCCACTCTCCCCAGCCCCATTATGAGGATGAGTTAAGGGCTGGGCACCAGCTTGCAATGTCAATTGGGTCTGGGTGCGAGGAGGGCCCTCTTTCATCTGCCTATTCTGCCAGTTATGGGAGCCTTCATGGAGGTAGAGCTTAGGGAGGTGGGGGAGAGGAAGAAGGGTCTCCCGTCTGGAGGCCTATGTCCGTATCCCCATGCCTGAAGTGCTCCAGTGCCCAGATCCTGGTGGGCATGTCCTCACCAGAGTGTGTGAGGCAAAGGGGTGGTTACAACTTGCGGGCAGCCACGAGCTCATCAGGGAGGAGCCTCGTTCAGGATGGGAGACAGACTGGTATCCATGGAATGGATGGGCTGGCATGGGCGGGCAATCTTAGGAGCACCACGTGTGGATTGAGGATGGGGGTGAGGTGAAGTGTGACTGACTGTGCGTCCTGTGTGGTGGTCGGTTCAGCTGACTTGATGTCTTAAAAGCCGAGTGTGTGGGCCTTAGCAGTAGCCATATTTCAGTGTCGGAAACCCAGGCCCAGAAAGGTCACACAGCTTATCAATGATGAACTCAACACCAGACTTCCATAGATTCTTGGTGGGTGAAGAGTTTGGGTCCCCAAGCAACAGAGGGTCTCTAGTCTCCCACCCTAACTGACCACCACACATAATCTTGTGGTGGCAGTTGTAGCTTGTGTCACGTACTGCCCACCGAGCCCCAACTTCCCCTTCTGCTGCTTGTCACGACAACATGCCAGGGGGGCGTGGCTGGGAGTGGGGATGTGTTCCCAACTCAGGGACTTTGCCCTCTCCCGTCAACGTGTGGCTGTTGCTCTCAGAACAGCGCATCAGCGAGTGAATGGATGCGTGGAGGCTGGGATGGTCTCTCCTGAAGAGCTGGATGAGGCTCCACTGCCCTGCAGCATTGGTGGTCTTTTAGGGTGGCATCCTGGCGTGCTGCTCCGTGGGGCGGGCTGAGCATGTTGTTGGTGCCTGTCATGACGTGGAGTCGGGCGTTGACGTGTGCCTGGACAGCTCCCAGCTCCAATTCTGGGCCTCCAAGGAGCAGGTGGAGTTGGCCCGAGGGCAAATCCATCTGAGCCACGGAGTGTCTGTCTCTGTGGAGGGCGACACTGTGCCGGCGCCGAGCACCAGGTAGTTGATCCCACTGGTCCGCGTGGGTCACCTGATCTCTTGCTTGTTGTCCTCGCCATGGACACACCCAGGCACCCTCAGCACCGGAATGAGACAGAGACTCCGTGCCAGAGCAGCTGGTGATGGTGTGAACCTGGGCCTGGTGTCCCCTCTGTGAGGAGGCCCAGGGTCCCCCCCCAACAGTGTATAAGACTAGTGTGACCAGGACAGGGGGCTCTAGTCGAAAACCCTTTTCTTTCTCTCCAATCTTGTCCCAGCTGCTCTCTCGCTTTCCTGCCCATGATGGCGGCCATTTATTGAGGCCAGTCCTGTTTCAAATCTCATCGCCCATCCGGTTGAGTGCAGTCTCCTCCCCTCGTGCACTCCGCCCCCATGGACGCTCCCTGAAAGGCGGGGCTGTGCAGGGGCAGGGAGGGGGTGGATCGACATGCATGATGACTCCTTGCCTGTGTAGCGCAGAGACTGTGGTCTTTGTGAAACCGGCCCTGGGCGGAGCAGAGAGGCCTTCACCACTGCCCACCTCCTCAGACTGCTCTGCTCACGGAGTCCTGCCACTCCCCCCACTAGCTGCTTGTATAAGCGGGGGCTGGGGTCAGTGCTTGGTGATGCCTCACCTCTTCACAAACCCGAGATGGGTGTTGTATACAGGTATCTCTCAATAGGTCTCTGACTGTCCTTCCCCACATGTGCACATGGCAGTGGTCACTTGTCGTAACCAGCTGGAAGGGGACTGTGCCCTGACAGTCGACTGTGTGCAGTGTCTGAGGATTGACCATGAGGGTCTGGGCGGGGCTAGCACAGCCCCCCCTCTTCTCTTTTCTCAGTGCCCGTGTTCGGGGTCTGCGGTCAGACCAGCATCTCCTGCAGGGTGGTGAAGGGGAAGGTAGTGGAGGAAGGCAAGTGGCCGTGGCAAGTGAGCATCCTCTTCCTGGGCATGTATGTCTGCAGCGGCTCCCTCTTTCATGAGCAATGGGTCCTGACAGCCGCTCACTGCTTAGAAAGGTCAGTCCACTGGGCCGGAGGGACCTGGGCCTGCTGTGCGGGGAGGGGAGGTGGGGTGGAGGGAGTTGGGGAGGGAGGATTGGGGGGATTGGTGACTTCGACACTCTGGGAGTGGGGTCTTGGCTGGGTATCCCTGTGTATCTGCAACCGTGTCCAGCCGCCCAGCCAGCCTGCTAACAGTCTGGCCTCGCGTTCATGACCCTGCAGATCCAAGAACGAAAGTGACTACTTGGTGAAAGTGGGAACCCAGCACTTCTCTGAGAATGGCACTCAGTGCCTGGTCACTCACATCGTGATCCACCGGGGCTTCGACAATCTCGCCTCCCAGGACATTGCCCTCCTGAAGCTGCAGACGCCCGTGGTTTGGTCCCGCCATCTCCAGCCCGTCTGCCTCCCCAGTGCCAACTACAAGCCACCCTCTGGCTCCTTGTGCTGGGTCATTGCGTGGGGAAAGGTGGGGAAGCAAGGTGAGTGGAGGCAGGTGGAGGGCCCCAGGACCTCTGCCCCCTCACAGCACAGCTCCTCCACCCACCCCTGGCCCGTCCATCCGCATAGTGTCTCCCTTGCCTCGCACGGCTCCGACCTTTGTGGCTGTGCAAACACACACCGTGGGCAAGATGCCCGTGGCCCGCACGGGCCTCGGGTCCCAAAGTTAAACCTGGTGCCAACCCCCAGCAAGGACCGACTCCTCGGTTATTGCCGGGTCTCTGTCTGCAGCTGGCACAAAGGCCACGCTCTCAGGAAGCACTGTGCCCACTGGTCTCTCAAGGCACGCATCATTCCTGGGGCACTGGCCCCTCTGGGTGCCGCCCTGGGGCTCTGCCTTTCCGTGGGTGCCACACAGCATGTCACTTTGGGATCTTGCCCCTGGTTGGGTGGCCATGAAATAGTGCTTAGCTTTTCACCCCACCCTCATAGAGGCTGAAATGGGGGCGACATCCCTCCTTGTTCCCATTCATTCGGTGCCCGACTGCCTGAGAGATCTCCGCTTCGTTTCTCTAGTGAGCTGGAGCTTTTACAGAGTCGGGATGTGGGGAGAGGCGTTTATGAATTACCGTCGGAGGAAACGGCCCTGCCTCCCACATCAGCAAAACCGGCCCATCTCAAGAAGCAGGTGGCCTGTAGAGTTGGTGTGGGGATGGCAGGCAGGTGTCTCTCTCCTCAGGGACCACAGCGTTGTCCTCAGAGACCCAGATGCCCAGCCTCTACAATCTTCACGAGGTGTCGGTCAGGATCTTACCCAACTACATGTGCAATCAGAAATACCGATTCCTCGTCAAGAGGAGCCAGCAGCAATTCATCGGGAACGACATGCTGTGTGGCAGCTTGGAGCGGGGTGTGAAATACTGTCAGGTGCGGAGTGTGGGGACCAGGGTGGGGAGGGATTGGGGGGCGGCATGTCTTCCTTGTCGAATAACATTGGGGCTCCTTCCTCTAGATCTCAGTTTCCCCACTCAGTGAACCGGGAGTGAGAATGCCCCGAGGGCGTTCACAGTGATGACTCCTCAGGTCATCTGAAAACGTCTGCACAGCTGCCCACAACTGGCTGGGGGTCAAACAGCAGGCAAATAACTCAAACTCACTGCCGGTCGCCGTTTCTGCCTTCGAGTCACCTGGTGGGACAGGGCAGAACTGCCCCCGGGGCTTGCTGAGATGGCCACTCTCTCCACAGAGTAGCAAGCCGCATCGTTCTTGTGTCTGCCCCCCTCAGAGCGGCTGGTGGTTTCAAACTGCCCACCTGCCGACCTGGTGGTGAGCAGCCCACCTTGTAGGCCAGACGCCCACCAGGGCTCCTCCCGCGGGCCCAGCAGAGGCAGCTTTGCGTAAGCAGCATCATTCTGTAAACCCACGCCGGCCTCTTGCATCTTCCATTCAATGCTGTGCATTGTAGATTCCTCCTTATGGGTGCATGCAGCTCAAAGTCCTTCATTCACAATGCAGAGCATTATCCCTTGTGAATATACCACAGTCTATCTGGTCTCTTGCTTATAAACAGTCAGATCTTTTTTTTGTATCATAATTCCTGCTGCTTTGCATCTTCACACACACGTCTTCCTGTGTGTAGCTGTCGGGGTGTCTCAGTAGGGTGTATCCTCAGGCAATGGTGGGTCAGGGGCTGGGCATACCTCCATCTTCAGTACAACCAAGTGCCACCAAGTCGATGGCAAATTGGCACACCAGGCAACCCCATGTGTGTCAGAGAGGAACTGTGCTCCATAGAGTTTTATACATACGTACATACATATACACATACATACACACACTCATATTTTGTAATGTTTTATTGTGGTTTTGGGGGAGGTTTACACAGTCGGTTATGTTCTCAATGAACAGTGACTACACAAATCGCCCAGAGACACTGGTTCATTTTCCTAGTGGGTCCTGAATTCCCTTCTGGCTATTTCGCTTCCAGTGATATGGTTTCCCTCCCCCCTTATTCTTTCCTTTTTGTTTTAGAGTGATTTTTTTATCATGTTGGTCTAATCTACCCCCACCCCCAAAACAAACCCTAACTGCCTTCAAGTCTATTGCAACTCATAAGGCCCCTCCGGGTCAGGGTAGAATTGCACCCGGTGTGTTTCTGTTAACAGGAGTAGAAAGCCGTCTTTCTCCCTTGGAGCTGCTGGTGGTTTTGAACTGCAGCCCAATGCATAACCAATATGTACTCATTGGTAATATTCTTTATTTTACGAGCCAACCTGGTATTTAGCTAAAAAGTAATTGTTTATTACTCGGGCTGGGGTGGGGATAGTGTGGGGTCACAGTTTATAGAATATCTTGGGGAGATTGTCCCGGGAATCCTCTAGTCTCAACTGGTCTAGTAGTATGGACTTTTTAGAATTTAAGCTCTGTTCCTCATTTGTTCTCCTCATCTCTCAAGATCCACCTACTGTGGGCCTGATCAGGATGGTGTCAGTGCAGCCGGACAGCATCCAGGTCTCCTGGTCTCAGGGCCAGATGAAGCTGCAGGTCTATAGGCTGTTAGTCCTGTACGCTAGTTCATTAACACTGAGTCTTTGGTCCCTTCTTTCCCTGTTGCTCCTGATGAGAAGAGACAGATGTGTGTGTCTTAAGCAGATGCTTGCAAGCTTTTAAGGCCCCAGACAGGACCCATCAAGCTAAGCTACAGAACACAAATGTAAATTTTATTATGCCCATGACTGAGTGGTCCCACAGCTCCAATCTCAGAAAGCCAACCCTATGATAAACAGATTTCATTTTACTTGAATCCAGGACTTCTTATGCTCACGAAACAGCATAGAAGAGATCACATGATGTATTGCATTGGGCAAATCTGCGGAACAAGATCTCTTGAAAGTATTGAGAAGCAAAGATGTCAATTTGATACATCACCTGGCCATGTGATTTTCAATGGCCTCAGAGGCATTTGAACGCTGGATAATGAATCACGAAGATTTCGGGAGAGTGGATGTCTTGTAATTATGGTGTTGGTGACGAATATTGAAAGTACCATAGCCTGCCAACAGATCAAACAAATGGGTCTTGGGAGAATTACAGCCGGAATGCTCCTTAGAAGTAGCATGGCGAGCCTTCATCTCATGGACCTGGAATGTGGCGTCGGGGGAAACCCGTCCCTAGAGAAGGACATCAGGCTTGGTAAAGCAGAGGGTCAGCAAAAGAGAGGGAGACCATCAAGAAGATGGGTCGGCACCGTCAGTGGCTGCAGCAGTGGCTCAGACACAGCACTACTGTGGCAATGGCACAGGACCAGGCAGTGCTTTGTGCTGGGGGTGTCTACAAGCTGAGGCCAACTCAGTGGCACCTAACGACAGCCCCGTGTCTGTCCGCCTCTCTCATCTTCCCCTATTGAATGCGGTGCTCTTCCATTGACTCCATGCCAAAGCAGCAGTTTGGGCTTCCGTGAAAGACTCAAATTGTGGTCCTTTGAAGTGTTCTCCAAGTTTGGGGGACAAAAATAAGTTTGAAGGGGCAAGATCAGGGTTGTAGGAGGGGTTGTAAGGGTTCTCAGCAAGATTGTTGTAGCACAGCCTTGTTACCTTCTAAGATTGAGTGGGTGAATTGTCTTCATGGATAAATAAATCTACCAAGATTACCGCCCCCCCCCCCCCCCCCCCCCCCGGGGATCCCCGGGAACAGTCATCCTAATCTTCAAAGCCAACCTTTCTGCCTTGAATTGAACTGACCTAGCAGTTCCACTCGGAAGCCACTGTTTTTGATTGGGCCTTTATTTTGAAGGCACCCTCATGCGGGGCTGAGAACTGAACTACTAAGGGAACTTGCCTGCAGCCAACCACTGGCCGCAGACTCATTTAGACGTTGCGTTTGGAGTAAACCAGCGCATGTATGAACCGGAACCCAAGTAGCAATGCTTTTGGACTTACCCTCTGTCTACAAAGCTCTCGAAAAATTGCTCTGATGAGAGGAATGAGCAGGAGCATTGTTGCGGTGAAGATGGGCTTTCTGGTGACGTTCTGCTCGGCGTTTTTCTGTTAAGGTTTTGACTAACTTTCTCAAAGCACTGTCAGAATACGCAGATGGTCTCATTCTTTGGCCCCCCAGAAAATCAACAGCAAAATGCCTTAAGGGTACCAAGAAATCTATTACCATTACCCTTGCACTTGACTGGATCACTCTCACCTCTTGGTAGCCGGTGCTTTGTCTTCAGGACCGTACTGGTAAAGTCATTTTGTTTCCTGCTACAATACTTCCAAATCCCACTTCAGAATCTTAATATCTATCACTTGTTTAAATTTTCCACTGAAACTTCCACTCTTACGTGCAGCTGAATTGAGTGCAACAATTTGGGCATCTATCGAGCATAAAGTTTGCTCAGCTTTAATTTTTCAGTCAGTGAGGTAGTTACATAATCTGGTGTCGATTTGAGGATTAAGAGTGCAGGGGTGGAGTCTAGCCTGCCAATCAGGACATAGCCAATGAGGCCTCTATGTGGGCATGGCCTTCTCCTGAGGATTCTGGGAACTCCTGGTCTTTCCTCCTTGGAGGCAGGAGATGCACTCTCTCTGCTCACTCCCCGCAAGACATCCTTGAGAAGACACATGGAGAGAGGCTGATGACAGTCAAAGTCTCATAGCTAAAGGAACCATGTGAGACCCCTGCCAGCGCTGAGATGCTTACAACACTGGATCTACAAGACTTCCCACCCACTGGCCTGTGATCTTTCTGCATTCGGTGTCATTGCATGTGTTTTGTGAGTCTGAAAAGGACTTTATCAATTGGTATCAGACATATGGGCTAATATCAGACTTAAGGACTTGATCTTGCCTGGGTTGGGATGTTTTCTCAATATTCAACTGCTCTTGTATATGAAGCTCATTCTTATACACGTATGAGTGTCTGTGAATTTGTATATCTAGTCAACCCAGGCTAACACAGTCAGGACTGTGTAAATTGAGCTAACTGAGATGTGTATGGTGTTGGCTATTATTTCTCCTGTTAATCATCACTCCTCTTCGATTAGAGCACAAATAGGAATAATTCAGAACTGGTGTGAACAGTTAGCTGCTTTAAACTTTATCCTTGACATTGTCTGGTCCCTTCTTAAAACAAGACCTCTGTTTTCAAACTGCT